ATAAAATTTTGAATAATTTTAATTTATTTAATTGTTCAAAATTGTCTAAAGTGTCTAAACTTACTGTCTACGACTGTCCTGTGACAACACTGCAATAGTATGATTATAATACTTTTAACAATTGCTTGCAATTCAATAATAATAATTACATTATCTATTTTTTGATCTAGTATCCATATATTTTGCAGATTTATAGCAACTCTTCAAATATCAGAATGTATTAGATATTGATCTTAATACTACTATCTTTTTAAACTATTAACAAAATATAATCAATCTTTTTTGTAGATTCTCTATAAATTACAAAGTTTCCAGAATAATATTTTACTATAAAATAGAATATATTACTTTATAATAATATTAATAAATTAATAAAAATTAAAAATTAAAATATACAAAAAAATTACCTTCATTTATAGCAACAGATTTAATCTAAACCTTAGTAACTCTTTCCAAATTTTACCATATCAGAGTTTATAGTTTTTTGTAACTTTTGGTCTAGACCAAAGTACATTTTATTAAATAGTGATAGATTGTTAAATATATGCTAAATAATATCTGAAATAGAAAAATAATAGACTTTTTTTGATTCGTTTGAAATAGACAATATGTTTTTACTAAAAATATGAATTTAATATAATTTAATTGAAAGTAAGAGCAATCTCTGTTTATATTTACTAAATTGTTTAATGTTTCTTACAACATTTGTATTTTTAAATTGTGGATGATTAAAGATATCTACTAATTTATTATATACTTAGATATCTAATATTAAAAAAATAATAAAAAATGTAACAATTAAATATTTGTAATTGATAAAATTATTTTAATCTACATATATATATTTCTTAATTTAACAAAATATTAATATCTCAGTAATATTTTTGAAGTATAGTACAAATTCTTCATTAATAAATAGTATTTTTTTAGTATTTAATAATTTATTGACAATTTTTTTGTCAGAACTATCTTCAACAAATATACTATTACTTTTTTTTGACATATTATCAATTTCATTTAATATTTCAACACCAAAATATTCTTCTGAATTCTCTTCACTCGATATATTATCAACTTTATTTAATATTTCAACACTAAAATATTCTTCAGAATTCTTTTATTCGACATATCATTATTTAAATTTTCTTTACTCAACATATCATTATTCAAATTTTCTTCACTCAAAATATTATTATTCAAATTTTTTTTACTCAAAATATCATCATTCAAATTTTTTTACTTAAAATATTATCAACCAAATTTTCTTTACTCAAAATATCATCATTCAAATTTTCTTTATTTAACATATTATTGTCTATATTTTCTTCACTTAATATATTATTATCAAAATTCTTTTCCTATCCTATTTTTTCTTGATTTTTTTATTTGTTCTTTTTTCTTTCACCTTCTCTTT